AGGCCTTTCACGCCCATTTTTTTTTTTAATTTCTTTATTTTTATTTATTCAATTGTTCTATTTTTATTTGTATTTCATTTCACTATTATTTCATTTCAGGTTCATTTTGGTTAATATAATTGTTATTTTCAGCTATTCATTTTCAATTCTTTTTTTTTAGTTGTTTCAGGGATTTCAAATCATTCTAGATAGTAGACAATGGAAGTCCGAACTAGTGAAATTCACCTTTGAAAAATATACTTCCATCAAAAATGAAGACAAGAACGTGTAGTAGTGCTCAAATTTTACCTCGATCACAACATTGTTCATCTCATGATGACACCAACTTGGACGCAAAGCTGTTGCAAGTCTGGATTCCGACTGCGGTGTTCTGGATTTATTCAGTGTCGGATGTTTTTTACCTTCCACTCGAAAGTTATTTCACTCACTTCTCGATCGGTGAAATCTATCAAATTATATTTCTCTTTATCAAAAACCGATATAATATTCATAATATCTCTTAAATACTTCACTTGGGAGACCCGCATTCATTTTCCATCACAGTTGATTTCAACTGTCAAGGAATTTTGATCTCTATCGAATAAGATTTCAATTGAAGAGTATTTGGAGCAAGATTATTCATTACTGGAGAGAGATATTTTGGGTTAATTCACTACAAAATCTGTATTGAAATATAAAATAGTAAGAAATGTGAGAAAAATGTCTTTCAATCATATACCGTTTTAGATGGGACGCTCGGCGTTGGTATGTATGATGGAATAGCAGTTTTGAGGCAACATCTTGTTGCGGCTACAATGGACCTGATCCATTCCTACCTCGAAATCAATCCCGCCAATCTTCAGCTCGGCTCGAAAGAATTAGTCATCCTCATGATGCAGAGTATTCTATATCTTCCAAACAGGCGTTGCGACCACGAGGAAACAATCGTACATCTCCTGCACGATATTCTCAATTGTCCCAGCTACCTCACCCCTTTGATCCAGGCCAATATTATTGGTCAAATTTATGAACTATTTGTAGAACCAACCTCAGTCTTGTCCTACCCTCTTGAAAATTCGGCGAGATTTCTTCTACAGTGCTTTTCAAACGTAACAAATTCGGAGCCAGCCCATGGAAGTTTCGAGCTAGCTTTGATGAAGGGGGGCGAACATATGAGAACCCAGGCAGCGTTGGTCTTTCCATATATGATGAAGTAAGTATTTTTGCCATTCATTCCGAAGAAAAATGAGAGTTTCATGTCTCACACTTTTCGAAAATATAAGAAACGCTTGAAGATTCAAAAAGCGTTTGTGTGATAGATATGTCTTTGTTGTTCGAGCGCAGGGGTTAAGGGCATGTTTTGATAGTGACCAACATTTCAAATGATTATATGCAAGGGTATCAATTTGAAAAACCAATAAATTCATTCATTATAAAGTTTTTAACGATGAGATTGGAACCTTTGGTGTGGAAGTTGAATAACTTTTTTCGATATCAGTTGCCCTAACACCAAACTGATATTTTTGCACTCGAGGCGCGTTTCGCCAACAAAGTTAGCATCCTCAGGAGAAGGAAATTGATCAATTTTCTTCTCCTGAGGAACTCAGGACGCGCGTCGAGTGCAGAAATATCAGTTTGGTGTTGATCTCGAAAAAAGTTATAAAGTTTTTGTGAATTATAGAAATAACTATAAATATCCAGTTACACTGTGGTTCACACAACTGTGAATTCGTGGAAAGTCTTCGATTATAATAAAATCTTCGTTTCCTAGATTCGTGAATGAAAAATATGTATAAAATCCACTGAAGCCGTTCTATAACTGGTTGTCTTAAGGGCTATACCATTACAATTGTGGAGCAAGATTCATTTGAAGAAAATCTTGATGGAGATCAAACTGTGAACAATCATTTCGTACACAGGCCCAAGTGAAATATTATAAACTCTCATGGAAATTATGCTA